GACAACAAGGTGACTCAAGTTTGAGCCGTGTTATCAATGTTGAACTTAATCCTGCTGACCTTGCTACTGAAACCCACATCCGGTTCAGTCTACGAAACTGCGTTTGGAACTCCTTAACAGAAGCCGGGCGGTAGAGAGAGGTGTCTCCCAGATGGTGTTCTGTTATTTCACAATCAAATTGCCTGGGAATCACAACAAACTCTCCTCCTTTGTCACTGACAGATAATCTTATAACCCGAGACTTTATGAGGTCTCGGAGTTCCCTAATAAATATAATATGGGGGTGATCTACAAGATTACTTGCCGTGATTGTGGTGATGAGTATATTGGCGAAACGGCAAGACCACTCCACGTGAGGATTAAGGAGCGCATAGATGGTATGAAGCGATTGAAAGAGTCTACTGCCCTAGGGAGTCAAAAACATAACGGACACGCTTTTGAAGTGACTGTAGAGGTCTTGGCACAGGAGTCGCAACTATGCGCGCGAAAAACCCTCGAGGCATTTTGGATACAAGTCACCGATCCAAAAATGAATCGTAGGGAAGAATGCATCACGCGAGAGCTGCGGCCTTATATAAAGTTGGCTTTCCCGCAGCGACTTGGAATGAAGACCTACCCTAGCTGACACTAGTCGATTGGTATCGTCGGTTACTGGGTGGTTTCGAGGAATCCAAAAGCTACGGTGAGTGGGTTCTCCTTTAATCACCTGCGTGCTCTGGGGGTCTCGAACTTTAGTAGGGCAGTGGAGGCGTTTGGTCGGATAGACACAAATTGTAATGATCCTTTCAGGCTCTGAAGAAGGCGACCCCGCCCAAACGTCAGCCTAATAAAGCTCATTTACAAACCTCGTGAAGAGTTCTAAAAAACAATAAACACAGTATTCATTAGAGTAGAGTGTTTCTGTTTAGTTACCTGGAGGTGGTGAAATTGTGCAAGCTACCGTCACTGCTCCTGTACTAGTGCATGCAGAGATCGATGAGCATCCTAATGCTCACTCTGAGACTAGTGTAAGAAATGAACCTTCCGGAAACCATGCACCAAGTATAGCAAATGGTGAGTGATCGTTTTGTTGATACCCATTAACTTGTTGTTTTTACTGCGAGTCATTTTTCAAGTGAACTTTAGGTGCGTCGAATGGCCAGCAGTACGATTTCATTCCACGCGACGAACAAGGCCGTAATATTCTTGAAGAGGTAAGAAATGTTATTACAATTCGTTAATGTCATTTGCATGAAATTTTGGAAAGGAACTTTTTTTATTAATTTTCTTCGTTTCTGATTCTGATCTCTGAATCTCATCCCACACATTTATCAAGTATGCCTTAGCCAGTATACGTTAACTTCATATGGTTTTTCTTTTCACTTTCACCTATTTCATTTCTGCCATCAACGTTGATCGCTCAAAATGATGCACTTTGTAGTTTCCAGAAAGTCGTTCTTTTTGATCAAATGATTTGAAAAGTCTCCCTTCGTAGTTCTTCACCGAAATGCTAATGATAAACGTCTAAGCCGGTTTTACATGATTGAGAAAGTGAAAAATAAAATTCGGCTGATTCTGTAGTTCTGACTGCTTTTGCATATTTTTCGTGTTTGGCCCGCATTAGTCAACAATCCGTGATCCCGAAGTAGCCCTTTTTACTATCTGACCTTATTGGTGTTGAAGCCCTAATTCCTTCTTGGTCCCTCAAACACTTCATGATTAACTATTTTCTGGATTTTTCCTCATTTTTCTGAATTAGCCAACCGTCTTCGATTTCATCCTAGCGTGAAGATGAACGCTTTTGAGCCTTCAAGGTAGGAGCGTTTAATTTCTCCTTATCAAATCAAACGGCGCGGTGGTTATAGATGTCAATGTCAAACGTTTCAGTATTTCTCAGTGTTTCAGATGGCAAGTTCTATGACCATTGGCCTAGACACCAGAGTGACAACAATTTTGGAGACTTATCGTGCTCCTGCTTCAATGTTGCGGCCGGGAAACGGTAATTGTATATACCCAATCGATATGAATCCATCCTTTGTATGATCTTTCTGAGTCTGGATGTTTAGAATTCTCTTTTTGGACTAGATTCCTTTTCAAGTTCATGACTTTTCGAAGAATAGTTCAGGCGCTGGTGTTTTGGCTCATCTTGAAGCTCTTTTGCTCAATTTTGCCACACTAGGTGATTTGGCTAACATGATTAACGTGAATATGGCTCCCCTGGAGTCCCATCGTGCACATTTTCGAGCGCACGTTATAGAGAATCAGTTGAATGGCAATTCAACACCTTCCGCAGAAGGTGAGTTGAGAAGCACTGGTTTTTCATGTTTGTCGCACTGGTTGGCATTATGTACCACGGTATCAGATTCCGTTCGTGAGTTGCTTGCAGTTGCAGCTGCTCGCGAAGCGCCGGACGGGAATTTAAAATGCTTAGGCAATTGACCGATTTTTCAACTTCGGTATAATCAAACAAATGTTAATATTTAGCAGATGATTAACGTATTAGGTGATGAGCTTTGATGCAAGTAATATCAGGAAGGAGAGAAAGGGAAAAGGAAATAATAGAGGGAAAAGTTACCACTGATTTTGAAGCTTTCTGTTTCTTCTAGTACTCGCGCACTTACTATTAGGTGTTCGATGCGCGCTATAAAGCCTGTGATTCAGTTATTAGAGCGCTGTAATTAGAAGTGAACTGGGGTAAGGAAGATGAATTTGCATGAAATAATTGGTGAGGTCGTTACACCAATGCAAAACAGTTGAGTGCGCTGACGGCGGCTGGAGTTATCTAATTAACCTATATTTAGAATACAGTAATCACATGCTTGAATTCATTAAGTTATTTCAGACTTGTTGTCGGCGTCAGTTCGTCTTGCAGCTCTCATATCGTCGATTTCTTCTGTAATATGTGCTGCTGGAGGAGAATTAGAGCGCGAATGGAATGGGCGAAGAATGAATATTTCTGCAACGATTCACAACGTTGAAGTCGCTACAATACAACTGTTGCTTCGAGCTCTACTGGATAGAAACAGTGAGTAGCAGTTTTCAAGCTTAATGCATTTGGAATGATCCATTTTAAAATATTCTTTTCGCTACTCCTTCCATTCCCTTGAAATTTTTGGTTAATGTGGTATGTTATTGTTTTGTAACTTGTAAATGAGGTTATTTTCTTTCTTGCTACATCTGCGCAAGACAGCAATTCGCGAGGAAACATGGTATTTGGCTTATCATGGAAGCCATTCCAATTCAATTACGTCATAGAAGAATTTAGCTTCCATAGCTCACTAGATTTTGTTGCAAGTATTTAGACAACCTGTCTAGAAAAGCGAAGTAGAAGTGGTGAAATACGCTTAAGTATTCAAGATGTAGAAAGTTCTGTATGACTGTCGAGTCGTTTAGTTCACTTCGCACCACAACTGCTGCCTGATATCTACTGATTGTAATTTCCCATACAGCATTTCGCCATGCACTGATACATACTCGTTGCGCAAAATCAGCTAGTTGTAATTTTGTTGCTGGTCAAGAATGTGCACAAATACAATGTAGGTACACTGGCCACGAACAGAACTATTGAAGAAGTGGGTTAATGGAAAGAGGCTCAGTAAGGGAGGAAACGTTGAATATTCGGACCTCAAGCAGCTGGGATGCGATTATTCAGGCTCACGACACCTAAAGCCCAAAACTTGTATGGAATTAGTATAAAAGCCCACCTTAGTGCGATCGACCGAGGTCTTTCATGCAGAGAAGCCTGTTGTTGATCGTCGCAACGGTTGCGTACTATTGCGAAGTGATTGGGACATTTGCTGGGTAATTTTACCACTTGTTGCATCTGGCAACTTCACTCTAGAGCCTAGAACTAACCCTGCAACATACTACCCATACAGTACAATACAGTTCAGTTCAAACTAACCATTTGAGGTCATCAAAATCGTCCAGTTTCTTCAGGCTATACTTGGAATGATGTGGAATCTGAAAGGGCGTTTCAGAGGGATTTCTTCGGAGTGTCTTCAGCTCTCTTTTTCTAACAAGGCGAAAAGGCCGAAGCGTTGGCCTAATGAAGTTCTACAATCTTGGTCAGCCTCAATAGGCTAAAATAGTAGTAGTATTTCTTTGCCAAACAGGTTTGTTATGGCACTGCTTCATTTGGATAAGTAGACATCGAATTCCAACTGTGGACGTGGTTTGCTCTGAGCTAGGCGGGTCTAGTTGTAAGATCAAAGTCCATGAGTGTGCAAACACTTTCTGGGCTTCGGAAGGAAAATGCTGGAATTGAGACACCGATGGTACATGGCAGGACGAGGCTCCTCCCCGGAACTGAATATGCGTGTGAGCTTTGGGGTTTGAAGGATAAAGACTTTGGTGTTAATCAATCCAACATGTGGTACGCGCTCTATCATACGACTTCCATTCACAATCGTAGTTTGAACGCGTGTCTGGTTGATACAGTGACCTGCGCTGGCCAGCCGATGTTTGAGTCAGTGTTTACCCCCCCCCTCAGATGACCGGATACCAATTGAGGGGCTCCGGAAGGATGAAGGCTTCTAAGGTCTCGGGATTCGAACCCTGGACCATGTCTGAGTAATAGTGCGCTGTGTGCCGCTACACCACATCCGCCATGAAATGGGTGTTAGTACGGATATGCGGAAACGCTGATCACGTAGGGAATGAGCTAAGTTAAAAAAACTGGTGACGAGGGGTAGACTCTGTGCTGCTTGAGTGCAAATACCTATTGGTAATATAGTTTGCAACTAGCAAAGATTGAGAACATGACCATCCATGCTATGTTATTAGCCAAAGTTTTTTTTTGTTTCTATATGTATGCGTCATTATGTATATGGTATAAGTGATAATTTCTTTTATAGTCTCAGACGCCGAGTTCAGCCATCGTATTCAAAACACCTTGCGAGATTATGTTCGCCATCTTGTCGCTCTCGGAAATCATTCCTTCGTTAGCGCAGATCAGACAGCATACGTTAGAATCGTGTACGAAATACTGGTGAGTGTGAATCACTGTGATGCCTTCAACTAATTGATAGCAATGTCGTTCGGACTCCATTGCAGAATAAGTTAATATTTGTTTAGAAACAGGAAATAGAAGTAAGATCACTATCGAAAAGTTGCACGTTATCAACAGTTTTTGACTCTGTGTATAAATTGCTCTCTTCCAGCGGGCCATTAAAGGAAGCGATATCCCTTTTTAAAAACAGAAAAGAAAATTATAATCGTCCGATTGTAGTTTTCGACTCTTTCCTCTCTCCTGTAAACATTTAGCTTCTAAATTTTTGAATAGACGGTAATCTGGAAGAATCATACATTAGTTTACCGCATCTGTAGGCACAGTAAGTACATGAACAATCAGATGTTCATGTGCCTACTAAGTATATACAGAACCGTTCAAAAAGAGATCACCTTGAACCTTTTTTTGCCATAACTCAGCTCGAACTCAATGTTTCTGAGTGATTTTTTTGACATCACCCTTCTCAAACATTACTGAGTCTTTTGCGATGCAGAAGCGGCGGTAGCTCATTTCCGGCCGAGTGGGTGGATTTTTTTTCAAAAAACTTGTGAAAGGGGCATGTTCTTCAGGTAGGTTTCATTGTGTTTTCTGAGTCTAGAGATGCTGTTGATCTTTTTGTTCTGATAACTGATCGCTCTGATTGAAGAGACGAAGCTCTGGCTTTCGCACACTGATCGTAGACCAGCACTCCTCCATTACCTCGGGCAGTAAGCAGGAATTGACCCACGCTCAACATCCAAGGCTGTTTATTGTGGTGATGTCTACGATTTCGAAGGTTATCGGAAGTAGTGAGTCTCTCATAGGCCCAATCAAACAAGCCAGCTCGGAAAGGCCTTTGAGGGTTGCCGCTTCTGAGGGCGATAGGAAGATCGTTTGTGTGTCGACGAGATTCCAGACGAGCATCTTTCAATGTAATGGCCGAAACATCGACGATGGCGACGTTGCCACCATCTAGAGGTACCGTCAACAGTTGCCGCTTGTGCGAAGCTGGATTATATGGAAGAGGAGTTGTGAGAAAGTAGCTGGATCTCTGAAAAAACGACGAATTGGACTTCAGTGGGCGCGTAAGCATCTTTGACCTTCGACCAATGACGCGAAGTCGTGTAGAGTGTCTAGTCAAAGATTGCTTTGCTTGATAGGGATGGAATTCCGTTCGTAGACGACCTTTTAAATTTCAAGTTTTGACCCAAAGTACCAACTGAAAACTCTTAGGAATGGTGTCGGCCAGTACTGGTTTGGGGATGTTTTCCGAGTCTATGCATAGGATCTCTGCGCCATATTTCCACCACTATGGACGAGCAGATGTACGTAGACATTTTGCAGAAATGGAAGCTACCTTTCGGCCGTCCTGTGCACGGCATAAACCTTACTTTCCAGCAAGATAACGATCTCCAACACAAATCTACAAGGGGGAGGGGTGGCACGAGTGGCTGACGCAACGGAAAATTTGATGCCTCGACTGTCCCAGCCAGTCCCCTGATCTAAACATCATTGAACCCTCGTGGTAGGAACTCAAGAAAAGGATGGCCGGGTAAAACAGTCACAAATGCTGCTTAGAGGTTTGGCCAATTAGAAGAAGAATGAAAGAAAATTAGTGAGTGCATGATCGACAAGTTGGTCGGATATATGCCCTGTAGATGACTAAGCCGTCATCGATGCCAACGGCTTCGCTACAAAGTACTAGACTAGCAGTTAGTTAGGTTTTGATCTCATGATGATAGCGTTCGAGTCAAGTGATTTATTTTGAGTTACTGAAACTGATGTTATTTTGTTCTGTCCAGAAATAATGTCAAAAGTGTACTTTTAAATGAAATAAAAAGAGAGTCCCGTGAGCTGTGTGATGGAAACATTAGAAATCATTACTGTTGACAACATATCAAGAAATCGGTCAAAAGTATTGAGTTCGAGATGAATTATGGCAAAAAATGCTCAAGGTGATTTCTTTTTGAACGGTACTGTATGCTGTTAAACGAGGTGAGTATCTAGCCCTGTCATGTCTTCGAAACTTTATCCTTCTTTCCTCAAGCTGCTATATTGAAGAGGATGCCTAGACCTATAGTTGTGTGGTAAATTCAGTTTACTCATCTTACGTGCCGACCACGAGAGCGTTTCTAGTTACGGTTCATACACATATTATCAGTTGCACTTGGCGAGGGAAGGGTTTATATACCAACCAGTTGGGCTATGCACACTAACGCGTGCACCATGCCATGCCCACTACCCCTTACCTGCGACTTGTTAGAGGACCAATATAAACAGTATTGGTTGACTTCCCTTGTCCGTTTCTCCATTAGGTGATATTCCCCAATTTGAACGATCTGACGCCGCTTTGTGAATATTGTTCTCCTGACGCTAATAGGTGATCTCCATTCCAACCTCCTCTAGTTCTAAGAGTTCGATTTTCCTGCGTCGCGGGAGACGAGTTGTGATTTTTAGTCTGCGACGTCGCAAATAGACTGGATATCAATCAACGGAGCTTAGGTTGACTTTCCATTCCATAGCTGTTTTCTCACCGCACTCTTGTGACCTTCACGCTCTTGATCGTGCCTACGTGACTTTTGGGAGGACACATAAACGGGCATACAAACAGACACGCAAAGTTAGCACTTTATATATATATATATATATATATATACATATATATATAGCATGCTTGAGCGAACCACTATTTTTCATCGCCTTGCCACAGTTTCTTTAAACAGTTCTCAGTAACCTGCTTGGGCTCTTCTATCGTCTGGAACTGACGGTTGTTCGCATAAATCTTTTTTACAATGATGCTACACAGATTCTCTATCGGGTTCAGGTCGGGGCTGCAAGCTGGCCATGTCAGAACATTGGAATTTTGGGGAAGGAACTAGTCTTCCGTGGAATGACTAACGTGGATCGCAGCACTGCCCTGTTGAAAAACGTAGTTAGGGTCACGTCGCCGGCTAAGCACTGGCACCAGGTACCATTGTGAGACTTCCTGAAAGTCTTTAAAAGTCCATTTTGAAGGTCTCTAGCAAGCTCAAGCCCGACAGTCTTTGCACAAGGCACTCCGCACCATGACACTTGCTCCTTCAGAATTGCACGACTAGAGTTGATCGGCTCTTTTCGTAAGTCATAGCAGTAGCAGTTGTAACTATCGGGACCTTCCAATTTGTCGAGAAATACGACCTGAACGAGAATATTGGACTGTAGGAATAATCTGTAATACAGATAAATACAAATCTGTAATTCGTCTAATCTTATCCCAAATTCAACTTCGCAAATTCAAGTCATGCCTTCCTGTGGTGGTCGGTAAGCCTCGGAGCCCTGCTGCTTTGACAATGCTGCTGCCCTTTTCCACGGCTCTCCATTCAGAAATTTTGGACACCGACCGAGTGAAACAATTCCGATCGATTTTTTACACCGGCAAGGTTTTGTTCGAAATAGTTTTTAGCATTCTCCTCTCGTCCGCGGTTGGCTTGCGCGGGCATCCTGTCCTCGTGGTGCTCTGCCATCTCCAAATATCCTTGAACGGAGCTGAGGGATTTCAAGATTTGCCTCCTAGTTGCCCTCATACTAAGCTCTGTATCACGACAATTTCGATTTCGTGCTTTTTCTTCTTTAGAAAGATGACCTCCGCGAGTCAAAGTGCATATTGCTTCCAAACCTATTTGCGACACATTCTCTCCTATGCAGATCCCTCCAAGTGCAAATTCTGCTGCATTAGATTTCGAAACCTTCGCAGGGGTGATCCCACCCACTATCGGGGGTAATCCCATATGACAAGACAAAAAATCAAAAATTATCTATATAAATGTTAATATAAAAGTTGAGCAAGCCAAAGCTGGTACACGGGCGTCATTAAAGGTGATGAATCTAATGGTGTTGCCAGGAAGATACAGTACCGCTCAAAAGTATTCGGCTAACTTTAACTTGCCGTAACTTTTTCCCAGTGGAGCAAATCACATGAAATTTTGATATGTTTAGCTGAAGCATGTTTTACACGGTACAACACTACTTGACTGCAAAACAGCCATATCTACATACTAATGGGGAGGCGTCTGTAGACTATGCTGAAAGCAAGTTTGTGATGCCTGCAGTTATTCCGACCCTACGTACGTTTTTCTTCTCTTCTGGGTTCGACATTAGTGCTTGTACACTTTGGACATGGCAAAAAGGAAAGGAATTCCGGAAGAGCCATCATTCGTATTTCCAGTTGATTTTTTGTTCAAGCCCTTTTGGATAACTGGAACAAGATCAGATTGCAGGTTAATATTGGTAAATATTCAAACTACACCAATGCTACAACTATTGAAATTTCGCTTGTTTAGATCCAGTAGGAAAGGAGTTATGACTGAAGTACGAGTGAGGAAGCATTTGGCCGAATACTTTTTATCGCTACTGTATGTACCTGGCTGCTTATCCTGTGAATAGCAAATTCGAGGGTGATCTTATACTTGCGCAACGCACAGTATGTCGAAGTTTTCTCCACAGCGAAGCAAGCTGAGTGAGCAAGCTAAAGGGAAGAGAAAGAACAGCTCCCAACAGCTGCTTCAGATCAAGTCAATAGATCGTCATACAAACTGGCGATAAGATTTTCACGATGGCTCCGATGCTCAATAGGCAGAACACATTCTTTGTGTGAAGTTGTAAAGAAAGGAAGCGATCAAGCTTACACATTTTATAATGGTCTTTGCGGACATCGCAGTCGAAGCCGAAACACTGTCAATCTTCGTACCTCGAAGTGTCAAGGTTGACAGGTAGGCCTGCTTGGTCTTGCCACGCGCGATAGGACACTTTAGCAACTGGAACTGGAAATATCGTCAAGACGGAGCTCTCCACCACAGATTGTACTGGAATTTCGTTGGAGGTAGCTCCACCACTTGAATTCTTTCAAAAATAGCGGCAAAGGAGACCTAAATCTCATGGATTGCTCATGTGATAACCTTGGAAATGCTATCAAAACGCTTTAAACCACACAAGAACTTGGATAGTCTTGGGAAGGCACTGCATAATGCCTGGGGTCAACCCGCTTCATAGCTGTG